AATATAATAAATAAACTGCAACTGAGAAATAGTAAGATGAATAGTACCTCTTCTGGTCAGACGCAGCTTCATTTGTACAGCTTACCATTTCCAACTCCATCCTTCAATTACTTGGGAAGTAAAATGACTATGTGGCTATGTATGTTTAAGTGACTATGTAAATGGAGGGTGATTATTCCCGTTTTGCAGATGGGCAGGTACAACTTGCCCCAAAGCTGCATGGCTAATCCATCCCCAACTCCGACAGATCAAGCTTTTTGTGGCTTTCTTTTACAATTTGCAAGCACGTGGACTTGGAAGCCTGTGGCAAATCCTGCCCCTTGGCCGGGAGTTTTGACTTACACCTTCTTGCATAGATAGATGGGCTGTTCTCTTAACACACTAGGGGTAGGGAGACACAGGAGGTCCGCCAGGTGGGAACGGGCTATCAAATTGGCCTAAAAACTACCGCTGGGTTTTTCAGAGCACGCGATGGGTCCTCATTCCCACGTTTTCCTTTTGGTTCCCCTGTTGGGCCTCGCATCAAGACTACGGGAAGTGGCATCGGAGGTGGAGGGCTTTGGGGAGTCTGGCGCAGCAGCCTCGCTTGGTCCATCGGGAGGAGCTGGCTCTAGGACTGGGTCACCGGTGCCACCAGGCATGGCCACCGGAGGCACTGGGCATGGAATGACTGGGCCAGTTACGGGCTCGGAAGGCATGCCAGGCGCGTGACTGGACGGTACCGGAGCTCCGGGCTCTGGGGGACCCCAGGGTGGGTGGCCGTACCCCGGGTAAGAGCTGTAGTTGGCATAGGCCCCCTGGGCAGGAGACCGCTGGCCCGTAAACACTTCTGCGATGGCTGCCATGGTGGAGGTCTGCCTTCCCAGGAACTCCCCCAGGTCGCTGTGGGAGCGTTCAATGGCGTCGACCATCAGCTGTGCCGTGGCTCGGTCCTGCCGCCTTTCCTGCTTGCGGTGTTGCCTTTCTTCCTGCCTGGCCCTGTCAAAGGCCTTCAGGTCGTGGCAGTGCAGGCCCCGCATGGCATCCAGGAGCATTGAGGGGGCCCGGGAGGCCGACTCCACCAGCTGCATGCTGGTCTCCAGGCGCTGCTTCCGGTTCCGCATCCGCCGGTTCCGCATCCGTTCGGCGTTGGTCAGGGGCCTCCGGAACTCTTGGATGGGCCCTGAGGGGGCAGGGAAATCAGAAGGGTGCCCAAGGGGAGAAGGAAATGAGACTCCTGCCGGAGACAGGAGCCCGACAGCAGGGTAAATTGCTCCTCCCCTAAACCCCCCGCCCCCGGCTAAAAACAGCATTAAAAATGCAATTTTGGCTTTTCTACTTCAGAAGCTGAAAGACGCTCTCGCTAGGAGTTCTTGGGAGCCGGGCAGCGCACAAATTCAAGTAAGAATCTTCATCATCTCGAGAGGTGGATAAAAATGCTAAATCCAGTCTAAACATCTGGCTGACTGCACAACCACCAACAACAATCACAACAATAAAGTTTCCACACCTCCTTACTATCATTTCCATTCCAACACCAAGAGCTGTTCCCCCGGGACTTTTCAGAGTTTGGCATTTCAGTCTATTTGAAACTGATGATAGTTTTAGGATTTGTACATGCCAAATGCTCTCGAGTCCTTCCATTTTTTTATTTAGCGCCCCGCCAACTACCTGTAGTTCAGTGTTGTCCAAACTTGGCCACTTTAAGATGAGTGGACTTCAACTCCCAGAACTACCTTTTCCTTCTGGGGGAAATTTGGGGTTTTATGTCACTCATCTTTTAATGGGCCCATGTTGTCAACACTTCTTTTTTTGTCCTC